CGCCACGAATTTGCAATAGCTATATCTATGCCGTTTTTAAACATCATACTTATCCCCTTGTCGACATTGCAACATGTACAGTAAGTGTTACGCTCATTTTGGAAGTGCTTCTTCTCCTTGGTAATCCAATGAAAAAAATCACCAACGTGCAGTTTAAGAAAGAAACTTGCCACGCAAAGGAATTAACGATCACTCGGAAAAGCTTGGGTTTGATCTGGACAGGCGTTACCGTCAACAATTTAATACAATTATTGCTATCTCGATGGGTTAATTTAGAATTTAGAACACGACAGTGGACCATTTCTCTACACGATCCTCCCCATAGGAAATATCTTCCGGTTCCAACGCCAGCATTCGTTTTCACTTTGAGACTCCTAGTAGGCAAAACGTTGGAATTCTCGCGTTGCTTACTTCCTTCATAACATTTCGTCACTTTTATAACAAAGGAAGAAAAGATGTCTTGAAAACTTTCACTCCCAGTTTTATCAAGTCAGCAATGCCTTTTCAGGCATACCGCGCCCACCTTTTACTTCAGGTCGTATGGATGAAGAAAGCCGAATTAGAGTTTTTTTCCCTTCAGTTGAAATAAACGCTTTTTAAAGCTAAAAAGTACAGCTCGCTATGCTTGAAAAGTCGTGCAAAAGAGGCTTTCCTTTAAACCTAAGTACAGCATTGGACACAGTCGACCATTACGTCTTAAATATACTCAACCGTCTCAGTACAAGCTTTGGCGTCAGGAGCTCTGCTTTACATTGGTTTGCATCTCTCTAATAGATTTCAACGCGTTTATCTCGAACAGAAACTTTCAGAGAACTTTTAGGTAGATTGTGGTGTCCCTCAAGGATCCCGACTGTATCTTCCTTCAAGGTTGACTCGACATATTTACAGATTGATGCTGTTAATTCCATGGAACGTTGTGTGGATGCAATTAGATGCTGGATGATCAAAGACAAACTCTGTTTGAATGAAAGTAAGTCAACGACAGACCTGCACGGACTCCCAATGTGGTTTTTGTGGTCGCGTCCCATTATCAAATGCGTACGTTGGAGTTACATTTTTTGCTCATACAAGCATGTCTTTCAGAGATGTACCTCCTTTCTAGGATCGGATGTCTTCTAAGAAAGAAGCTAATTTTCTATGAGACTCCAGTTTGCCATCAATGTCTTTTTAAGATCTCGTACCGCTGGGTGATGCGTTGTAACGAAAGGCAATAGTCTTTCTTTACCTTTTTTGCTTTTGTTTTTGTTTAAGACGGAATTCATCGTAGTAGGCACTTGGCAGCAGTTGGCTAAAATGAACATTGCTAACATTTGTGTAGGTGGTGACGGTAACATAACCCCGGTGGCATCGGTGAAAAATCTCGGGTCCTGGTTCGACCACATGACACCTACTTCAATTCGTCTGCATTGGTTTGCAGCTTGTTTTAGAACTGAGTATAAAATATTGATCCTCCGTTTTAAGGCAATTTATGGTGTTGCACGGTCCTATATTTGTAACTTAATCAAGATTAAAGGACGGACACGACATAACCTGCGTTCGATCGCGAGCAAGGAACTGTACAGCCACCATTGGTTAACACCAGGGAAACTCTTAAAGATAAAACATTTCAAGAAGCAGAGCCTAGATTGCGGAATACTTTACCGTCTGGAATAATAGCAATTAGAGGTTACGATCTTTTCAAAGGAGCAATTAAGACGTACTTGTTCAAGAAAGCATTTGCTTGTAACACCTAGAGCTTCTCTTGTATTTTAGTGTTATTAGATTTAGTTCTTAATTTTTAAATGTGTTATATAACAATTTTTCAGTGTAATATTTACGTTTCTTATCAGTTTTTAGGCTTTTTAAGTAATTTAGGACTATGCTATGTAACTTTGCTTGCATATTTTATATTTTATACACAGATAGGCTAGATTTAAATGTAAGGCGCAGTTGATCATATTCACATGTTAGCGTGAGCCTAATAAGCAATATTAGGGCAGAGCGTGTTAAGGAGATGGCACCAAGAAAGACTCAGCGGGCATTAGATCTGGTGACAGAAAAGGGATCATCAGCATGGCTTACAGTGCTTCCGCTCCAGGATTTGGGCTTTAACCTGAAAAAGGGGGAGTTCCGAGATGCTGTTAAACTACGCTACGACTGGCAGTGGAGGATATCTCCTCCACATGTGCTTGTGGGGAAGCCTTTACGGTTGATCACTCTATGATTTGCAAACTAGGAGGTTTTATTTCTCAACGCCACAACGAGCTAAAAGATCTCGAAGCTGAATTTCTGAGTATGGTATGTAGCGATGTAGAGATCGAGCCAGTACTTAAAGACATCTCCGGCGAACATTTAAACAGAGGATTTAACAAAGCTCAGGATGCGAGGTTAGTTATCCACGCGCGTGGTTTCTGAGAGCGACATCGATCAGCATTCTTCGATGTGAAGGTCTGTCACCCTAATGCTGTGTCGTATAGGGACCTAGAGCCACAACAAATTTATCGTATCCATGAGAACGAGAAAAAGCGTCTGTACTCAAGGAGGGTTCTGGACATCGAGCATGGAACATTTACACCTTTGGGCCGGATTGTTCGAAGGTGGGTTAAGATAACCCAGGGTTAGTGCGAAATTTGAACTCAGATATGAGCGTTTAAAAAACAAATTCAGTTCACTTTTCTTTGCCTACAATTTGATGATAGGATACTCCAAAAAAATATAGAAAATTATCCGAGAGAGTATTTTTGACGAAAGGAAAAATAAGGCCGGTTTAAAATCTATCCCTGGGTTAGCGCTAATCGTCGTTCGAACAACTGGGCCTTGGTCTTCACCGCAACTGGCAGAATGGGAAAGGAGTGCTTCATGTATCATAACCGTTTAGCACAGCTGATTGCCATCAAAAAAGGGGAGCAGTATGCCAAAACCATCTCGTGGATCAGAACCAGAACCTCATTCGCACTCTTGAGATCTGTCTTCGAGGCTCTATTGTCATGTGACATTAAGAATGTTGATATTGACGTCGAAGTTGTTGAAGGAGCCATTCAATAGGATTATTGAATCCAGATGTGTTTCCTTACTTTTAAATGGCAGATATTCGTTAATAACGCATTGAGAACGCTATTTAATTTCCCCCTTTTTTTGGCGATTTTCCTATTAAGAATGCAATGGACCTTGAAAATAGTTTCTTTTTTTTAAATCGAAATGGATTATCTTAATTGAAATGAAATGTTTTTAATTCAAATATTTCTTTTAATTAAATGAATTTTTTCTAATCAAGACTATAAGTGTTTTTGAACGAAAGGAATTGTAAATAGTGTTTTGACGGAATAGTTTTTTTTTTGAGTGAATTAATTGTAAATAGGATATTTTAATAGTTAGCATAGTTACCAATAAAATATGTTCATTATTATTAAATTTGAAAAATATAAATTGTATTTCGAATACCTTTGCGCTTGAAATTAGTTTCTTTGATTTTATAATTGAAATGTTTTTAATTGAAATGAACTTTTTTTATCGAAATGAACTTTTTAATCGGAACAAAGTGTTTTTTTAATCGAAATGAATTGTAAATAGTGCTTTGACTAAATAAATTGCTATTATTATTACTGTTTTTATTATTATTATTATTATTATTATTATTATTATCAAAACATTTGGCTGGTGGCCAGTATTTTTGGATTTCTTCTAGTTTCTCGCTTTTGATCTTAGCTAAAAGAAGCGAGCTAAGTTTTTTTACTCCGCTGGTTCCCCTTGTAGACCATTTTAATTTTAACAGGATCACCTAGAATCCACTAAAAAAAAAGGCTGTGCATTGTTCATTGAAGCTCAAGAGGTGTTAACGGTTGACATCTGTCAATCAGTAGGATTTTAAATAGCTTCCCAAAAGCTTGAAACCACTATTTTATATTTTTAAAAAGGTACTTTTTTCGCACTTTTCACAACATCACTTCCAACTGCAAAAAAGGTACCATTTTGCGCCTTTCATGAGATCGCTTGAAAGCGACAAAAAAGTACGGGAACCTCTTTCGCGCTTTAAACCATCGTTTGGTAAAGTGAGAAATGGATGAAGAGCGGACAATATTGACGTCAAAGTATCATTCACTCGAAAGCTGATCAGAAAATACCCGACTGCTTTTTCAAAAAAAGGTACCTTTTCATAACTTTTAACCTAAACGACAAGCATAGACAAAAAAGGTAACAATTTTGCATTTTGTTCTACGGAAAATGAATGCAGAAACTTAGTCTCTCCTCTAAATCTCAGTTTGTCCCAACAAGAAAACAGAACCTTGGGTGCGGCTCGCTTCAAGCCAAGCGCTCGGTTTATTCTCGAAAAGACTAAAAGATACATGACATATCATAGAAACGTGATATACAATCCAAGTAACATACAGCTCCAAAGAACTAGATCACAAGCTAATTGAAATGGGGTCGTGGAACAACAGCTGGGTGAAAAACCTCCCCGTACGTCCACTTGCACCTAGGAGGGAAACCCCAGGCCAGCTGTACCCCATAAAAAAACGGTCCCCCGGGCACGACCAACTAAATAGAAACTAGAATAAATTAAAAGCGGTACGAACGAGAAAACTAAACACCTAACGCCTTAGAAACCGACAAGCGAGAAGATAAAGAATCTTGGACATACCCGTCCCTAGCCGATTCACTAGCCCAGCGGCCATGACGCTTAAAAAGTCGGTCTAGTATGCCAGCATTTGCGGCAGCAGTAGCCCCGCCACTTCTAAAGCTGTGCGTATCAATGGCAGAAATATCAAGTGCAATATCTTTAACGGCCTCTAGCACTAACTCTCTTATAACCGTGAATAGCTTAAACCTTTAGATCTAGGCTTATAACCACATTTAGTTTTAGAAAGCTGACAAAACAAAGGGCTATCGCAGGAAAGCCCAGCTCTATCTAAATAACGGTTCATCATTGATAGCAACTGGACAAGTTGCTTTCCTACAGGAGGCTACAACAATCCAAGCTCCATCCCTATACTGATCAGTTTTACTAGTTTGAATAAATAACT